TATTCATAATTAATTTTTTGGGTATAAAAGTTATTGTTAATAATGTCTAGAATCACAAACAGTTGTAAGCAGTCAACACGAACAAACAACCAAAAATCAACAACTTAATCAGAATAATGCACAAGGTGAGTTGTGTACAGGATGCTTTCATACCGAAAAAATAAGAAAATTAAATTAATTTTTATTGTGTTACAGTTATTGATTGTGAGTGCCTTGTTGGCAGTTGCCTCAGCAGTAGCCCTGCCAGCACCCATATATCCTGCCTATGCCGGCGTATTACCAGCCATTGGAAAAATTGGCAAAATAGTTGGTCCCGAACCATATGATACAAATCCTCAATACAGTTTTAGCTATGCGGTGAATGTAAGTAAAAAAACCATTAACAACATTTAGAAATTCGGAGGAAATATATTCATGTATTTTTTAGGATCCCACTACCGGTGATGTTAAAAATCAAGAAGAAACTCGCGATGGTGACAACACCAAGGGAGCCTATTCCTTGATTGAACCTGATGGTACTCGCCTTTTAGTTCAATATACTGCAGATTCCATTAATGGTTTTAATGCGATCGTTCAACGTGAAGGTGTCGCCAAAGTGGCTAAAGTATTAACACCGGTTACCAAGATTTTGACACCTGCTCCACTATATCAATCACCGATTTTGGCTAAACCTCTTCTATCAGGTTTGTCCGCGTATCCAGCTTTAGGGTCTTATCGAATCTAAGTAGAGTTTTAAATATGTATGTTTACAACTACGGCTATGATGATACAATCCACCCATACAAACACACATTCGGAGGCCTGCACTCTGCGTGAATGTTGGTGCTTAATTTTAAGTCTCTAATACAAGGATACTCTTCAATATTACTTTAATATCACAATTTATATTTTCTTATTTCTCATATTTTTTTTCTTTTCAATGCATTTTTTATCCTTTGATTGTAATCACACTTCATTTCCTCATCTATTATTTATAAGTTCATTTGTACACAGCAACATTTGTATTTGAAATGCAAGAAATAAATAAAGAAAGCTTTCTTTAAATGCAATTAAATTAGTGTTATTCTTTAACCCTTTCAGTGTTAAAAAAATTGTATAGTACTTGCAAATTAAAAAAAAAAATAAAAATTTTATTAGGCTGATATATGAGTATCCAAAGTAAAAACCTGTTGTATAGCTGGTTAATAGAGGTACATTTCAAAATTTGTTTACTCGAAAAGATATTTTTCAAAGCGAAAATATGTTTGTTTTTCAAAGCGAAAATATGTTTGACCACTGTAGCTAGAAAATAGATGCCCTGGTCTTCTGGTGGGATTATTATACCCATCATACTTGTCCTTAGCGAAATATTCAAATTTTTTTCGCTAAAATCGAAATTTTGACACAAATTTATATAAATTTAAACTAGCTTCAGTTATTTTGGCATTGTTGTTGTGGTGTAAATTTAAATGAATATTACAATTCTGAATTAATAAAATAATGATATCGTACTGTAATATCTCAAGGCTTAAATTTTCATTGGATCCAAATCTTGACTCTATGCAAATTCTTGTTACAGCTGTCGCATATTTGCAACTCTAATACTCCTCAAGACCCTGTTTTCTGAGAGAATTAATTAAACGATTTGATCATGAGTATATATTGTTCCAATAAGAGGTATTCGAAGAAAACGTTTATGTTTTGCGATAAATTTGAGAGTATTCTTCTGAATATATATTGCTCCAAAAAGAGGTATGTTTTAAAATAAATTATTGGATAAAGAGAAATTTATTCCGTTGATGGTGGAAAAAATCAATCAAACCGGCACTAAGAAAATAAAAAACAAGTAAAAAAGCGTTAAGTTCGGCCGGGCCGAACTTAACGCTGACAAATTTTTGAAATGAAAACATAGGGAACATACATATAACGACAATTCTTCCAATCGATTGTTGTAAACCAAATAGAAAATTCAGCAATTTCAATGGGGGTTTTCCTAAAATCTCAAAACCCTAAAATGTTGACATATATTATTAACGCATGGTACGGTGAAACATGTGCATAAAATCCTGAAAATACTCCAATTTAGAGGGTAATATTATATATGAGGCATACTAAAGCGGGACCAATATTGACAACATTGTGTAGAAATTAGCAACTACTTGGTGTTTTCATTACATATGGGTTAGGCCTAATTAAGGGCCGATGTAGCTGAAGTTCCAAGCTAATATTTTAGTTTTGAATCCCAATACCATCCACCACGCTAAATATTAAATAGGAAGGATGTTTTATATAGGACCTGGTCCTAAATGCGGTCGATACAGTTCATTCTCAAACCTCACGTTTTAGTTTTTATGTCGATATCCTCCGAGCGAAAAATTATTACAACATATGGCTAAATCGACTAAATCGTTTTGGAATTCCATACTATGTGGGCTATGAACTGAAAATTTCGTCTACCGAATATTCACCCTACTATGGTGGAATACAGCTATGTGGGATAACCCCAATACACGGAAAAAATCCGCTAACTATTTTAATATAAAAAAGGGGGTTATAAGGGGACTACCCCTAAAAGGGGATGAATATTAATAATTTTTGGTAGGAAGATTTGTTACCATATACGACTACAAAATACCAAATTACAGCGAATTCGGTTGAAAACCGTGCTCAAGAACCCCAAAATACCGAAAATTGGAGGGAACCATGGGGGCTACCCGAAAAAATGGATTTATTATTAATAATTTATAGTGGAGAGATTTGCTGCGCAATAAGAACTCAAAGTACCAAATTTCAGCGAACTCGGTTGAAAAAACGGGCTCAAGAACCCCAAAATACCGAAAATTGGGGGTACCCTTATATGAGGGCTACCCGAAAAAATGGACCTATATTTATAATTTTTTTGTGGAGAGATTTTATACCCAATAAGAACTCAAAGTACTAAATTACAGCCAATACGGTAAAAACCCCCCAAAAACTGAAAATTGAGAAGTACCGTCGTATGGGGGCTACCAGAAAAAGTGGACCTATATTTATAATTTTTAGTGGAGAAATGTGGTATCCAAAAAGAACCCATTTTACCAAATTTCAGCGTATTCGGTTGAAAAACGCGCTCAAGAACCCCGAAATACTGAAAATTTGGGGGTACCCTTATATGGGAGCTATGCCTAAACGTGGACCGATATAGCCCATCATCGAACTTGACCTGCCTGCAGACAAAAGACGACTCTATGCAAAATTTTGGCGTTCTATCTCAATTCGTTTAGACGCTAGAGTGATTACAACAGACAGACGGACATGCTTAGATCGTCATAGAATTTTACGCTGATCAAGAATATATATACTTTATATGGTCGGAAATGATTATTTCGATGCGTTACAAACGGAAAAACAAAACTAATATACCCTCCATACTATGGTGGAGGGTATAAAAAAAAACTGCAAGAAAGTCAAACGCCAAAAATTGGTCACCTTTGTCACGAATTATGGCTTTCAAACGGCTTCTTTGACAAGTAAACACGATCATTTTGTTTGTTTACAAACCACTGGACAACGAATATTTTCTCATCGGAAAAAACCAAGTTCGGCAGTTCACCACTTTCGGCCAAGCGGTTGCGGTAGAATTTCTTGCACTTTTTGGAATTTCAATGACTTTACCCCGAGCTCATTTTTCAATATTTGTCGAATGGAATATTGCGATATCTTCAGCTCACGAGCTATTTTTCGGCCATTGCGACTCGGGTTTCGATCAAGTCGCTTCTTTACTTTTCGAACCATTTCTGCTGGTGTTGCCGTTTTCTTCCATCCACTTCCTTGACGTCGGGCTACGCTACCAGTATCACGGTAACAGCCGATAGTACGAAACACAAAAGATTTATTCCCATTTAAATACTGGAAAGCACACTATGACGCTTGAATTCCATCACGAATAACTTTTTTTCTGGAAAATTCTCATCAAAATGCTGGAATAATTTTAACAGCTGTTGGACGAGTGGCTTAGAAATGACAGCAGTCTGAAGTTAATTGCAGTTTTTTCATCTCATCCTGTAAATGGCAAAGAGTCTGATATACTAATAAATTATTTTTTTAAGGTCTTGAAACGTAGCTGGACTGATATAATATCCGGTTCAGAAATTTAGAAAATCGGTTCCTTCTTCTTCGAAATTTATTATTTTTCATCGCGCTATACCGTACTTTAAGCTATGGCGAATTTTTCCTTCCTCACTAAGTCTTATATACCCAATATGAAATTTCCACACCCCTGATCTTGACCTCGATTTTGTCTCACAGTGTTGTTAGTAACGTTGCCCAAATCGGTCCTCCGTGTTAAATTTTGCAATTTTGGGATTATAATTGTGATTTATGGAACAGACCATTCATAAATTTGTGTTTCCATTTGATTCCAATTTATAGTAGGAACATCGTGCAAATTTTCGTGATGATGGGTTCATAAAAAAGCGTTACACTAGTAACGCTAATAAATTATAATTCAGCTATTGCATATATTACTATAAGGAAGTTCCAGGATTTGGCCAAAGTTAAGTGTGTGTATTAAATGTCAACAATTTGCGTACTACCTCATAACCAAAATAAAACGCTATGATATATTCATTGACAAATGCAATTGTATTACAAAACGTCACCCAATTTTTTAATAATTTTCAGATTAACACAAAAATGAGTGCTACACAAAGTGTTATTACATCAGCCAAAAATCTGTTGGTGCTTCTGGTTTTCGTTTCTTTTTGCTAAAAAACTGCAAAAAAAAAAAATAAAATAAAATGTGGTGGGGTTCATACACCACTTCGCCTGTACTATGTTATGTTTTGTTGTTATTATTATTAGTTGATACACTTTTGCATAGTTACTGAGAACCTGATGGGTGGCTAAAAATTTTACCGGCAAATCAAAGCACATATTCAAAATTAATTTTTTGGGTATAAAAGGTATTGTAAACAGCATCTAGAATCACAAACAGTTGTTACCTTCTAACATACAACAAGTTGCAACACATACCAGTCATAATGATGCACAAGGTATGTTGAATCCTTCAGAAGGATTAAGGAACAAATTAAATCATAACTAATGTTTACTTTCGTTTAAGTTATTGATTGTCAGTGCCTTGTTGGCAGTTGCCTCAGCAGTTCTCCTCCCAGCACCCGTATATCCTTCGTATGCCGGAGTATTACCAGCCATAGGAAAAATTGCCAAAGTAGTTGGTCCCGAGCCATATGATACAAAACCTCAATACAGTTATAGCTATGATGTCAATGTACGTGAGAAAAATTAATATTATTTGAAAATTGTGATAAACGATATTCTTGTTTTCCAGGATCCCACCACCGGCGATGTTAAGAGCCAACAAGAGACACGTGATGGTGACAACACCAAGGGTGCCTACTCTTTGATTGAACCTGATGGAACCCGTCTTTTGGTTGAATATACTGTAGATCCCATTGGTGGTTTCAATGCTGTCGTTCAACGTGAAGGTGTTGCCAAGGTGGCTAAAGTTGTAGCCCCAGTTGCCAAGATTTTAACACCGGCGCCGCTATATCAGTCACCGATTTTGGCTAAACCTCTTTTGCCAGGATTAACATCGTTGCCATCCTATCCAGCTTTAGGTTCATACCGAATTTAAGTGGATACCTTTTGGTGATTTGCTAATTATGACCATGACATTCACACAAACGCACACACACACATTCATCTACATTACTTATAATAACGTGACGAAACTCTGCGAGTGTCCCACCCATCGTGGTGGTTAGAATATAATTTATGTTTAACAAATTATAGTTTTTTTTTATTTTTAAGAAATGAAAAGTAAATAAAGAAAGCTTTCTTCAACATATCAATGTAATTAAAATGTATGATTGTTTTTAATCCTAGATCCGATGTAGCGTCGGGTAGAGTTAAAGTTAAGAGAAAAATCGATCGAGATTTGAGATTTTAGTGCTTCTTAGACAGCAGACGTATGAACATAGTTAAATCCACTCCAAAGGGATTTGATGGGGCCCACTATGGGCCATATTAGACTACATATACTCTTACTCGTATTAGGATCATCATTCTAAGAAATTTAAGCCAACAACAAAGTCGTAAAGAGGAGCGGGATCGGATCGAGAAATACCTAAGAAAACTATTATTGTCGAGCCTTGGAACATTTGCGTCCTCGAGTGCTTAATGACAGTACTAAAAATATTAGAACTCATAGACCCCTATAGTATACGGCTATTATAAAGACCAACAGTATATATGTTCTACACCTGTAACCAGGGCTGCAGAGACAAGCTTTTTCTAATCAGACTCCGATACCAATCAGATTTATTGATAATAAAAAAGTTTCCCTTAAATACGATTGCCAGTTTTATGAGCCTAAAAGGTTTGAATTCAACATAGAATTATAGAACGAGTTAAATACAAAATTTTTAGCTAGATTATATTCCACTTCACAGATGTAGGGTTTGAGAAAGATTTTCTTAAAATATAGAGTTAAAAGAAGAATGGTCTAAGATTCGTCTTCCAAATTTAAACATAAAATTTAAATTTGTCATACCGTACAACAAAACACCCAATTTTATACATACATATTGGCCCACGAATTGGTTTAGCCACCATCATAAAATTGTGCCGCCACATTTTCGGTATTCTAAATATTATAGCCTGTCTGTGATTTGACAGCCCCTGTTGGCTGAAAAACATCTCCACAGAACATTTTCAATAAAGACCCCGCCAATTTTATTTAATTATGGCTTGGTGCGCATGTAATTTAAATCGAAGTGATTGGTTCTGTATATAGACCAAAAAGCTAAATTAGTCAAATCAGTAAATTGTAAGTAGATTACACTGTGCCACAAAATCAATGTCATGGCCTGTGTGTGTAAAATTCGCCATAGGTTAAAATTCGGCGATATGGCGTGATCCTTTTTTTTGCTGGTGATCCTTTTTTATTTTATGATATAGTAGCTTTATATCTTCATTTGTAGCTTTTGTATGAGTTTTTCAGATTACATTTCTTCAGAAAAATCGAACGTGAAACATTTCGTCCTTCTAACTCGATTCCATCCTATTCTACAAAAATGTCGCTCGTAAGATTTTAGGTGGTGTCCTCAAAAACAAGAAATCGATATTCCTATATTTTCATCGTCCTTTTCCATTTTATACCCGATACTTGCTCAGAAAAACTTGCATCTACAAACACCAATAAATTTCGAATAATTTTTACATTTTTAGGAACCCGAACCGAAACCATGTTTGTAGAATATATGGAGGCTAAAATATATCGTCATTGGTATGTAAAATAAGGACAAAAACGACGCGCAGGGACCCGAGACAGAATGATATGTTTTACCGCAATAGTCCTCATTCGAGTTGTGCGCTTTTCCATATCAGGTTGAGGTAAAATATGTGTATAGTACCAATTTGTGTATAAAGTACAAATTATTTAAATCGCTTCGTATTCGAAATGCACCCTTAGATTTTGTTTTGATTCTTGTAAAAATACATTGAGTATAATAAATCTCCAATTGGAATTATATCTCAACTCCAAAGTATGCATAAGGCATATATAACCAGTGAGCGGAGCAGTATAGTCGGACGGGGCCGACCATAGGATACCCTACACAACTATCACGAAACTCTAACATTCTGCTGATGTTTATTTCGAGCCTGGGCAATATTTCTGATATTTGCACCGCCTTGCTGATTAGATATCAACAGCACCTTTTCCTTACACTGACATATTTTCCGAATGTTACTAATATTCAGTCCTTCTAATTACTTGTCCATATTCCCTTCACCGAGGGCTGTGTAATTATGTTCGGCTTTCAAAAAAAAAAAAAAAAAAAACACACACACACAAAAAATTATGTTTTCGGTCCATTTCATTCCAAAATGATTATGTGATCATCACCGAAAATTATAGGCGTTGTCCTTGACCATTTGCACTGTAGTACCCAAAAACTCGTAAAACGCAAATAATTTCGGAAAACTCCATATGCCATAAACGGTCATCCGATTTCGGTGTGCACCCAAACAAAAATACATCGATCTATACCGAGTTCAATGCGGTTCCTTAAGAACCATGGATGACCCACCTCACGCTATTTTTGAGATAAATTGGGTACATCTCTCTCATTCTTTGCCAAATTTCGTGTTTTTGGAAGGCCCCTTCCCGCCGTTCTATAGATGGATTTTCACGAAGAAGACTTTATATCTTCCGAAAAGTAAAAATCCTACTGATCGCGGGTACCCATATCATTCCAGAAAAATTGGCCCGAAAAATAGGTTTTTTAGAAATTTGATCGCACAAAATGTTTACATTCGGATGAGTATTACTCTGAAACTGCGCATACTACATACATAAAACATATATCAAATTACCCAGATTCATTTTGAATCGAGCTTCAAAATGTCAGCATCATTTAAAGGTAGATGCAGTTAAAATTTTGAAAAATGATACATAAGAGACGTAGTCCCCATTTTGTAGGCTTCTAGTTTTACTTTGACACGAAGACCGTGAAATGAGTTCGCCTCAGCCAGTTTTTACACATTTTTTTACATTAAAGTAGACACAAAGTTTACAACGACCGATCAATTAACCCAAAACTATTAACTTCTCTTCATATAATTAAGGGAACCCCACCCATTCTCGATTTTAATTTGTCAAGATTTTCAATGGGCTGGTAAATCAATACCAATGCTTGTTAAGGTTTGTAACTTTGCACATATATATTTGAAGATTTAAAAGAGAAGAAAAATAATTTACAAAAAAATTTTGTTTTTGTCTTGTTGTTGTCCTTATTTTTGATGGCGGGCATGATAACTCCTCACTGGTACATTGGAATCCCAAAATTCCAACGGTGTTAGAAAGAGTACATGTCTGGCTCTCGTATGAACTAGGATTATTGACTTAGCTTCAAAATTAAAAAAAAATGGCGGACCTTTGAAAAAATATTTTTGGAAAATCGCCGAAGATCTTCACGGATTGACATTATCCTAGTTCATACGATAGCAGTACACTCACAGAGAAACGTGTAAAAATTTGGAATCGATTGGGTTATTAGTTTTTGAGTTATCGTGCCCGCCATTCGCAAAAGAGAAAAACGCGTTTAAAGTTTGAGAAGCCCTTTAGCCGTCACTTGATCCTGACACAATAAATCGGCTATGTCTTCAAGAGTTCTTGAGATTTTCACTTGAAATTTTGTACGGACATTTTTGAGTTAGTGTAAATTCAAATAAAATCAAAAAAAAAATTGACCCTGAGAACGGGGGGGTCCCCTTAATTACAAGACACAACAAATCAACTACAACAACATTTTGTCAATTTTTATTTTTCTTCATTAAGTCTTCAAAGTTACAATGGGGGAGTTCCCTTAAGAGGAGATTATGTCTGAGAATACTGAAATAATTGACGAGAGGTCAGTACATCCAGAAAAAGTCACAGTTAGGTGCGCTCTTTGGTCCGAAGGTATGATTGGGTTTTACTTTTCGAAAACGACTGTCACGACTGTCAGTTCGGAGCGTTATGGTTGTATGATAACCGTTTCAAGAGAAGAGAATTAATGCTTGCAACCCAAAATACCAAATTACAGCCATTCCCTAGAATACCGAATGCTGAGGGTTCCGTTAAATGGGCGATACCCTGAATCTTGTGTCAATATTAATAATATACTTTTGGTAATTAGATATTATATACAATAAGAATCCAAAATACCAAATTATAGCCAATTCGGTTGGAAAACCTGTCAAAAATACAGGATATTGGGGGTATCATTATAAGGTGGCTACCCTGAAACATGGGTTAATATTAATAATTTTTGGTACGGAGATGTGATATACCCTAAAAACCCAAAATACGAAATTACAGTCAATTCTATTGGGAAAACTTTTCCAAAATACCAAATATATTGCAATAGAAAACATCCTTGGAGTACTAGCAATGTCTGTGCAAAATTTCAGAGCTCTATCTTAAATATTGCGGTCTCTACCGTGATTTCAACAAACGGACAGACAGACAGATATTCATAAATCGACATAGAATTTTATTCTGATCAAGAATATATATATATATCTACTTTGTGCGGTCTCCGGTAAATATTTCGAGGTGTTGCAAACGGAATGACAAATTTAAAATACACATCACCTTATTATGGTGGAGGGTATAAATTAGGATGACACAGGCCTATATTCTAATGTGTGAATTTAGGATTATTGGTAATACTATTTTTTTTATACTGATCAGCTTACTAAAGAAATGAGTGCTAATCTATGTGATATTACATCAGCCAATGTTAGTGTTTCTGTTTTTCTTCTTAATCGCCACAAAAGCAGCAAAAGAAGTTGTTTGGGTTGCTAGCTAACAACTGTTGCATTCAACATGTGGTATGTTATACTTTCCGCACTTTTGTTGTTGTTATTAATATTTGTTACAATTTTGCATAGTAAAACCGATAACATTTTGTATTTAAAATTAAGTTTTTCCTATAAAAGATATCGCTGACAACGTCTAGAATCATACACAGTCTGCAGCAGCTTAACCGCATAAACACACCTCAAGTTGGAAGATATAGAAATCATAATGATGCACAAGGTAGAATTGGTTTATTATCCTTCAGCTGTAAAAAGAGACATACAATTTTATTCATATGGTTCCTTTACTTTTTTCCTTTTCCTTTTAGCTATTGATTCTCAGTGCCTTGATTGCAGTTGCCTCAGCAGTTGTCCTGCCTGCTCCCATATATCCTGCTTATGACGGGGTTTTGCCTGCCATAGGAAAAATTGCAGAAGTAGTTGGTCCTGAGCCATATGATGCAAAGCCTCAATACAGTTATAGCTACGATGTCAATCTAATTCACGAAAATTAAGTTCGTACCAAATATTGTGAAAAACTCGTCACTTGATCCGATTGTGAAAAACTCGTCACTTGATTCGTTTTGTCTATTCTAGGATCCAAAAACCGGTGACATTAAGAGCCAACAAGAAACACGTGATGGTGACAACACCAAAGGTGCCTACTCCCTAATTGAACCCGATGGTACCCGCCTTTTGGTTGAGTATACTGTAGATCCCATTGGTGGTTTTAATGCTGTCGTTCAACGTGAAGGTGCTGCCAAGGTGGCTAAAGTTTTAGCGCCAGTAGCGAAGATTTTGACACCTGCCCCCCTATATCAGTCACCAATTCTGGCTAAGCCTCTATTACAAAAACCACTTCTTTTGCAAGGTTTACCTTCATTACAGACCTATCCAGCTTTGTGTTCGTACCGCATTTAAGTGGTGATGACAAACGATGTTAATGAATAAAAAAACGGAATATATTTTTAATGCTGGCCATGACAACAACACAAACGGACATTATGTTATTTTATTGTGATACTCTGCGAGTGTTCATATTTCAATTTTTAGTCATTTATGCAATCATAAACTTAAACAATATCATAAATCTCATATATCACCATAAGTTTATTATCATCTGTCTTGTTTCGCTCTCCTTTATCTTATTGTTTGTAAACCTATCTCATCCTTGTATTTAGAATGTAACTAATTTGAATAATTATTTTATAAAAATAAACATGAACGAAGAAAGCTTTCTTTGCAAATACTCATGCAAAATATAGGATATTTCATTTTCAAATATTTTCTAAATCAATTACTACGCTTGCCCCAGTTGGTGGACTCTGATTTTAAGCTGGAAATAATAGCTAAACAAAGAGTGGAAGTATTTTTTTTAATGTTGTTGTTATTACTAAATGAAGCCACAGCAGCTCCCCTCATGAGCTGCTTCATTGAGGCCCAACGTGGAACCTGCTATATTGGCGCCCAACGTGGAGCCTTCTCTAAAATTCATTTTCAGCAAAATATTGACCAGCACAAGTAGATCGAAATTGGTAAAAGATTGGATGATGTGCAAAGTTTGGATGAAATTGGTTATTCATTTCGATAGATGTCGTGCGCACTAGACAAACGGAGGGATGGCCAAACGTTGGGCGCCAATAAAGGATATTTGTAAACCGGCTGCGAATTAATAAAAACGGATTTGGCCTAAAGAAAATTGCGGTATAAAATCAATATTCCCTTCCACAAATGGACATAAGACTGAAAATATAAAGCACAGAAAATTCAAATCGGAGCAGGTTTGTCGTATAACCTTCAGATCTGTCAAGAAAGACCTTATGCCCTGGTTGTGAGACTACTGCGAACAGGATTACGTTGCATCGTGCTGCTACAGCTCGATCACCAGTAAGTTTTCGTCCACGACGTCATCTTCTTTGTCGGAAAATGGAACTTCACCCCAGTCTCATCAACAGCAACCCAATCAGCAACATTTAAAGCCACAAGTTGCTGCTTCTACCTCTGATTGGGCATCATTTCTGCAATTTAATTTCAACGGTCATCGAGAAAAAATAGAAGAGATATTAGATTTTATCAATCGGAAGTGCAGGAAATCATACTCAATAAAAATTTTAGCCTACAGCATTGTAATAGTTACAACGTTCTGAAGAAGGATCGCACCGGAAATGGACATGGGATCTAGCATTCCTCATGCAGCACTCTGAGCTAAACTCCAGCAGAATTTTAGACGATTAATAGACGTGAAGCGCGTTCTGGTATAGCAAATTTGCACGGTGAATGAGGATGCCCAACCAGAATAAGGCAAGAGTGCCACAGTTCGCCAGATATACCAATCGTATTTCCCGGTTTAATAATTTACAATAACTGATATGCCGCACTTTCTTTAAGCATAGAAAAGCCAGCTGACAGGGGTTTAGACAGTTGATACACGGGTAGAAGAGCGTGATGCGTTCCGTCGATCTATCCCCGCAGTTGTCACCAGATTAGTCGCGAAGCATAAGCGGAATAAATAGTTGGAGCATCTAAAGTGTTGCAACATTGGAGCCGGTGTGAGTAAAATGTGAGCAAAGGATAATAGGACCTCTGTCACATTTGACGACGAAACTGTGACTCATTCGAAAAAATGCGTCAGTGTTGTGCATCCCGAGAGCGACAGCGCGAAGCGTAGATCTAAGTCATCTGAAGAGTAGAGCCCTGACAGAATCAGCCAGGAGTTAAAACCCTTAATTTTCAAAGACTGGAAAAAAGGACAGGACTTTCCTTTTCATTGCAAAACTTAGTTCATTAAACTTGACACGAAAGAGTATAATATAGGCACCGATTGTCACGCTACTGAAGCCAGGCAGGATGCAAGTAAAGGTAAATTATACAGGCCGATCTCACATCTATCACCACCATGCCATACTTCCGTTCAGATTGGAAACGTTGAATAATCAATCCGGAATAAGAAGTTCAAATCTTCAGAATGCATCAGGGAATTTCTTAGGGTGGGGTGATATCTCTGAAGCTATTTAACCTCTACATTTCCGGTACTCCAGCTATCTTGTGATTTAGAAGCCTTTTTCCTCGTAAGGAATATGCAAATATCAGCCAGGAAATCTTCAACCACATTGTTCACCACGTAGACTTAGGGTACACAACTACCCAACCGCATATCCCCCCGACCACCAACTACACCACTATTATTTGAGATACATTCGATAACATTTTTTAGTCGTCTACTCAAATAAGTTGAAAAGTAGTAATCAGGTTCTCATTCCGCTTCCCGACTGCACTTTGAGGAATCTTTGTTGATCTCTTATAAAACGATAGGTCTGTCTGTGGCCGGAGAAGTATTATAAAATGGAGCCTCTTATCAATATGCCTATCAAGCTGGTTTGAATAGCATTCAAACAGATGCAGTTGCCGACGTGTTTTTAGTTTTTTTAATAGTCCAACTAAGGGTTCTTCTCAAAATAAGAGCACATTTATATGTATTTTATAATATAGGTCCATATATTATAGGTATCCACATATCTGAGAAGTCCTTGGTCTCAGAGATGTGGATGAGCACTCAAAAATAGTTTTCAATGTATTCATTAAATATTTGGCCGGATTCGGATTCAAGTAGCTTTTAAAAACTCTAACTCCAACAAAAATGAATCGATTTCGGAATGGTGTACGCGATAACAAATAAACACAATTTTTTTAAATTCAATTTAAAAATCTATTTTAATTTAATTTAAGGACCAATTCGATGGCTACGGACCTTCTGCTTACATTATGGCATGAATCAATAAGTGACAAGTTTTTACAATGAAATAAATGAAGACCTTTCTCCACAGTACACCGCATATAATATTCTTATCGAAGATCTGTCGGCATTCTCGATCCAATTTTTATAAAGACTTGCTCAAAAAAATAAAAGTAGTATTCGAACCCAAAACACTAGTAGGTAGGATGATCATGAAATATTAGGCCCACTTTGCGTTTTCAAGATTATCGTAACGACAAAAAAGTAGAGCTGCGACAACGTCTATTGCATCAGCCAATAAAATGAGAAATAAACTCGAAAAAATAATAAAATTGTAATTTGCAAAAAATAAAAAAGAAGAGAAATAAGAAAAACACGAATGATTTTTGTTTTTCTCTTCTTTTGCGTTACAAAAAAATGCCATAGAAGTTGGTGTGGCCCATGTTGTTCTGCTGCTTTCAACTTGCAATAGGCCTGTGTATTTTTTCTCTACATTTTTTTTATTTGCATAAATATTTAAAACTTTATTGGCAACGGGATCGGAGGGGATTGAATTTAACCGGCACCCAAAAAATACAACGAAAAAAAAAGAAAAACAGATTTCATATTGAAAAGTACGTTTCGTTCGGTATAAAAGGAATTGTTGACAGAGTCTAGAATAGCAAACAGCAATTAGCAGTTAAACGGCATAAAACCTCTTACCAATCAGACCACGTCGAGCAGCTCATTACAATAATGCATAAGGCAAGTTGTGCTGGAGGTGTCCTTTAGCAAAATATAATAATTATCCTGTCATGTTATTACAGTTATTGATTGTCAGTGCCTTGATGGCTGTTGCCTCAGCAGTAGTTTTGCCAGCACCTGCATATCCTGCCTATCCAGGAGTAGCTAAAATTGCCAAAGTTGTTGGTCCCGAGCCATATGATCCAAATCCTCAATACAGTTACAACTACGATGTTCATGTAAGTTGGGAAGGATTTTATGAAGGATAATGTTTCAGCAAAAAAAATATTCCATTGTCCTTAGGATCCCACAACCGGCGATATTAAGAGCCAACAAGAAACCCGTACTGGTGACATCACAAAGGGTGCCTACTCCTTGATCGAACCTGATGGTACCCGCCTCATTGTCCAATACACTGTGGATCCTGTAAGTGGTTTTAATGCCGTTGTTCAACGTGAAGGTGTTGCCAAGGTAGCCAAAGTTTTGGCACCTGTAGCCAAGGTTTTGGCACCTGCCCCAATCTATCCGGCACCACTTTTGGCCAAACCGGTTGTGCCCGCCTATCCGGCATTACCTGCCTTCGGTCCATACCACGGTTAAGTAGTAAAGATCTATTAATGGATCACTGGAAATAATGACGACGGACAAGGCTTATTTTTCTGTTACATCGATGACCAACCAACGCATGCGCACACACTCGCACACACCTACAGAACGACAAACCTATAACAAACCTCAATTTTTATACCTATATTCCTAAGGCACATTCATCAAACGCCCACCATTTTAGTGACACTCTCGCTGTGACTGTGCGTGTGTGTGTGTTTCGATTTTTTAGTCACCAACACAGTAATATGCTTTATGTATCTGTGTTGGTATTTTTGTTTCTCATAAATCTCATTTTTTTCTCATAATTTTTTTGTCTACGATTTCTATTTTCATTTTCTGTTTATTGTGTAGTTTTGCTTTCTTCTCTCATTTCGCTTGCCATAGTATCTTTACAGAGTACTTCTTGTGTATTTTTTTTTATTCTAGATTAGAATTTATATGTTTAAAAATATTTAATATTATATAATTTGTACATACATGTATACAATAAAAAATGAACGAAGGGAGTTATCTTTTTTGAAATATGAATGCAATGAAAAAATCCTATAGTCTTCTTAATGCTGGAAAAAGGGATGGAAATGGTATTACTTGATACGGCAGAACCAAGTTAATATTATGCAAAAAAGGTAAAAACTGTGGAAACAAAGCTACCAAGAAGTTCTGTTGGACCTTAACACTATGTTCCACAAATGTTTTCCTTGGTCATGCATAATATTGTCAAGGATTTTAAATAGAGGAGGCTGAAGATTGGGGATTGTTATATTATGGGGTTCAAATTGATTAGTTTTGGATGAAATATTTTGGAATAGCCTCCACCCTATGAGTAAATGTATGTCAGGAAGTTTTTTTCTTCCTGGGGAAACACATACCAAATTACAGACACATGGGATAGAAAATTCAAGTAAGGCCTTAAACGTACAGAAAATAAGGCGGGAGTTTATATGTGAGCTATGTCAAAAATTAACTTATAATTTTGCGATTTATTTTCTTAACCTGTATTGCCGAATTAACTCACTTCGGTGGAAAACTGCGCCAAGGACCACCCATATACTATTCGATATACTATTTCTCGCATTCTGAAACTTTTGGAAGAGGTTATGTTTGTTTGCTTCGGAATCTGTTTTGATTTTCCTATCTATGGTACTCCACATATTTTTCCATTGGGTGAAGATCAGATAATTGTGTTGGCGATTATTCCATTATTCGTTGAAAAGTAGTTTCGGTATTTATTTGAGGTTATTTTCAAGTTGAAACACCCAAACAAGCAAGACATTTTCATTTTCAGCGCAGGGAACCGTAGCGTTTTCAACACATTTGTACAATCAATAGAATTTATTACTTCATCTTTCCCAGTACATTTGCCATACTGAAGCTTGAGCCTTTAATTTTTTTTGACCTTCTCACAGCATTTTTCCATGTCTGTGCCGTTAATATTAAACTTACAGTCATCCTAGGTGTCGTATCCGACTAGTATGAGCTTTTGGGATTCTTTTCAGACATAAAATAACTTTTTTGATAGTTTCCGGGCATGTAGGCCTGCTAACATAGCATAGTTCGTCCACGCATTGTCGTTAAGGTTATATTAAACGATTATCTCTCACCAATTCCGTTGAACTCTTAAATTGAAATTTTTAGTGCTATGACAATTTTTTTGATCAGTATGAACTGATTTTCTTTTGCAGAGGTTTGTTCATTTGATTACAAATAAATATTCCGATCATTATCAAACTTTGTTCCACGATTCTATTTTTGAATAAATGCTGGGAAGGGCATTTATACAAAGACATGAAAATATATCTACGGGGAATCAGGCATCACAGAGGCATGTTAAGAAATGTGTATAAAATGTAAATAAAATCAGAGGTCTGCAGCTTACGGTATAGCACTAAAAACGTTAAATAGTACTTGCTCTGTTGATATAACAACATAACAACAGAGGAAAAGACATCTATTGGAAATTGTTGACGTATTCATTGTCGTATCTTTATACTTTTATGTCTTTGATTTATTGGTGTTGGGTTTATAAATGCGGCCTCCAAAGCGACTAAATAAACTGACAAGAAAAAACATTTTTTGTTCATTGCATCATTCATTAAATATGATCCGATCACCACCAAAGGCTATAGATGTCGCACTTCACCATAATCGAAACTTTATGCAAAATTGGATAGCTATTTTTGTGACTTCTAGAGCGACCAGACCAGAAAATTATAACATAGCTTTTAATTAAAATTTCTTTATTCGTATTTATGTATAATATTTTTTTAAATATATAACTTATTGTAAACTATAAACCAATTTCTTTTTCCCGATACTTTTCTAAAAAAATATAATTTGAAGATTTAAAAAGGAAGAAAAATAATTTACAAAAAAAATTTTATTGTTGTTTTTTGTGATCAAAGAAAAGTCCTTATTTTTGATGGCGGGCATGATAAATCCTCACTGGAACATCGGAATCCGAAAATTCTAACTGTGTTGGAAAGAGTAAATGTCTAGCTCTCCTATGAACTAGGAATATTGACTTCGCACAACAATTAACAAAATGGCGGAGCTTTGATTTTTTTTTTTTTTTGAGAATCGCCTATTTTTGACCAAAAACTAAGTTAAAAAATGAGGAAGGTCTTCACCGATTGGCTTTATTCTAGTTCATACGAGAGCTATACACTCCCAGAGAAACGTGTCAAAATTTGGAACCGATTGGATTATTAGTTTTTGAGTTATCGTGTCCGTCATTCGTAAAATACTGCTTAGAGAAAAATGCGTTTAAAGTTTGAGAATCACTCTTGCCGTCACTTGAACCGACACAATAAATCGGCTATATCTTCAAGAGTTCTTGAGATTTTCACTTGAAATTTTGTAGGGACATTCTAGAATTAAAGTAGATTCGAATTAAATCCAAAAAATTTTGGCAACAAAAAAAAAAAAAAGGGGGGGGGGCATGAATCTCTTAAAATTAATAGCGCTTGAATTAAGTTGAATACCTATAAATTACTGCTAAAGTGAATGGTTTATATTCAATTTCATTTGCATTTTAAACTAGGAAGGGGTACAATGCACTATGGCTGACATCGCGATTTTAGCGGCATAAAATATATCCCGACATGCCAGCTTCACCAAATTTGGGGTGTAGAATACTAATGTTAGAAAAGGTGATTAATGAAAAATGGGCGGGCCACGTCCCCAGCATGTTGGCTGTAATTTGGTATTTTGGGTTCTCATTGTATAGAAAATCTCCCTACCAAAAACGATCAATATTGGACATTTTTTTCGGTATACCCCAATATTCGGAATTTTTGGAATTTTGTGCATTTTCTTTAAACAAATTGGCTGTCTTTATGTATTTATGGTTTTAATTTTGGTCAACTTTTTAAAGTAGTCCCCATATAACGAAACCTCGGAAATTCCGATATTAAGGGGCGTTTGGGCACGTTTTTAAACCAAGTTGGCTGTAATTTTTTATTTTGGATTCCCATTTATTGAAACGGTCGGATCGAAACTATCTAAAGTATTTTCTAAACTGTGGCAGGTTGAACCAGCAGAACCGTAGATAACTATCGATCAATTCTCCAACATCCATTGTACATAATACTTCATATAACGGTACTTCTAAATACTTTCTCGCTTCTGCAAGTCCTTTCCATTTAAGTCAAAAATTTATACACATTCCAAGCTCTAATTCATATTAATTTTTTTAATTTTCTACCTATTACGTATGGAATATTACTTTTTATGTAATTTTTGACCCTGGGTTTTTCTGCAAAAATGTTAATACTTCGTTTATTAGCAGTTATTAGCAGACACTTTAAGCATGACATAAAAATAGGGTTTTCTATGAACAATCACATATAAATAGTTTTTGTAACACTTTGTTACATTTTTAGTTTTACTCCATGGAAAATGTTAAAACTTTTCAAAATTTCACAAAAAAAATACAAACACAAAACACCAAAATATGTCCGAAATACAAACATGTAGCAAAATATATTTTTATATAATAAAAGTACTTAACTCCAGTATTGGAATTCATATTTATCAAGATTTTTTTCAGATAATATATTTAAAAAAAAACCGCTTTTAATATTACGAAAATATTGCTGCTTTAATTGTAATAACGCGTAATAAAAGTAATGTAAACATTAACAGCTGTTTGTACATAAAAAGGGTTGCCAACAGTACAAACTTTTTTCGATTTTTTCTTCTCAATATGTTCTGTATTGAATTCCATCAACAACTTTCGAAAAATGTTAAGTTGAAAAAATGACTTTTTGCCGCTAAAATGGCAATTTTGCCTATAGTGCAATGGTGTAAGCCGGCATGGAGACGTCATTGCCACAAATGTTGGTGGTAGTAGGAAATAATCGAATGAGATATAATTATAACAAAGAAAATGCATTACGTTTTTCTTTTCGTAATTCGGGATATAACCGTATAACCGTTTGTTATAAAATATGGACCTTGTGCCCATCCTGACAACATGAAGGAGCAGTATTGGTATTTTCTTTTCTGTTTTCTGGTCGTACTATTATGAAAATCTTTCGAATATAGAAATATAGAAGATGGACTAGAAGAGCATGACAATTACTGTTCTGTTCTGGTATTTTCTTTTTGTACCATAAACATTTGTGTGGGGTCACGCAAACCTCTTAACCGATCGTATCAACAACATCCTCAGCTAGTATCCAAGACGAAGTATCTCTAGTCGATAGAATTAGATCTGTAACTTTGGTATAAGAATTGACTCTAAAGATTAAGATAGTAAGATTTGATTGGGAAGCAATATCATTTACACTGTATGTTGGATCGCTTTCTTCGCATTGTCATGGATGGTGTGCTCCATGAGACGACTTAATCAGCAAACATCGATTAGTTCGTTTTGCAGGATTTGATGAGCAATTATGATCAATTGAGAGCTGTCTACGATAATGGCTAATCTTGATAAGGGAAACATGCAACTGTTGAGATGACGTGAAGTTGTTCTTCCACCTCACTCG